TGCATCTCTCCCCTTCAGTTACCACCTTTATATGCTCATGTATGTCATCTCACTTTTCCTTACTTACCCCCCGGGGAAGTTCCAGTTGATACGGAGTCGTTCTTTTCTCACTCCCTTGCTCGAAAGCCCAACTTCCTGCGGTGGCTTCCGCTCTCTTTTCTTCTTGATCACTTCACTCTCATTCCATGCCATCGCTGTGTACACAATGGCTTCTAAGAGTCTATCAGACGGTGTCAGATTCGAAGCAGTGTTTTCCGGACAGCGTTGTGTCGAGGGCATTAACTATCTTCGCTACCATTTTAACTGCTGATTTTTTATGCCATTCCTTGCAGCACTTATTCATATCGCATATATGCCTGTGTCATCATTTGTGTAGTCTCAGAGTCCCATGATTGCTCTTAACAGGCTACTAACGAAAATTTGATTACATCTCACCCCCTAAGTCTCCGTATCCAACTTTGCTACTTGCCGTATCTCCTACCAAGCATAAAGATATGTTTTTTGTTGGGTCCCTGGCATGTCGATGTACAGGGCAATGAACAGGCAGGACACTGCTGCGCGGTATCAACAGTACATGGACCTACCAATTTCCTATAGAGGTGTTCCCAATTCTGGACTAATTTGCTGCAATAAGCTTCTCTCTCACCTCACACCACGTTGGCAACAACGTTGGTCAACTCTGCTTGGGTAACAACTCTTCTATTAAACCGAGCATAGGTTACTGCCGTCTCTTGTCATCAGTGCCGAGGTTGGGTAGACCCTCTCTCCCCCCTTACGCATTGGCCACTACTCGTCTTACTCCGTGGGTATCTCATGATAGAGACCCTGTTTCCTCTCTGTGAGGCATTGTCAAGTTTCCAGATCAATTAGCTCATTCTGTTAGACTTTGCCCTCTCTATCAACGAGCACGCAGAATTTACCATCCAACGTTCTACTACTCTTCTATACCTTCCTTCTTGTTGATGGACCCTCTTTAATCCAGACTCTCTCATTGACTTCTTGACAACGACTGATTTACTTCCACAAACTCTGATGATACTTTTCCCGCACTCCCCTTAGAGCCCTTTCCTAGTTCAGTCCTCTGCATGCCCTTTTTCCCATTCACCATCCACTGCCCTGACCCCGCTGTATTCCGTAACCTATTACTTTACTCATCATCACCCTTTTGCCACTGATGCCCTCCGCTTCCTTCCTGCCCCCTGCAGCAACTGTATAGCCCTTGTGGCTAGCCCTTTTCTGATTATGATAATAAATGTGACACTTACGCGGTGCTTAACACAATTCCATGTGAATTTTATATTTAAGATATCTGACGTGTTACTCTGGAAAACTCAGGGAAATGGGCAAAACTCTAAGTACGTATTCTGAGTATATGTCTTTTTATGGCAATCCTAGTTAGTAGCATAATATTCCTCATCAATGTACACCAAATCTGAGGAAGCCACCTCATAAGAATAGGTCCTACACCCTCTCACTTTATTCCTTTACAAGAGTGGAAAACATAAGAAAGTAAGAAATATGAAGTCATACAATAGTAATTAAGATCATTACTCTGATTAGTTGCTGAAAAATTTTAGAAATCCGTGGCTCTCAGCCAGTTTCTGGAACTGAACCCAGCTTATTACATCAAACTTATACTACATCTTTGTGAAACTACCTGTTCCCCAGTGCATCACGCCTTCCTTACCGTTGGTCCTTTATAAGCCCTTCAAGTATTAAAACTGTCCGTGGGAAATATTAATCATAATTATAGTGGAGCTATAAAATAAGATAATATGAGGCTAAAACTGGTCCTGGAGACCAGAACCCCCTCCAAATCATGCAGATGTAAAACCAAGGTTCGTAGAGGAATGAAACTCACCTAGGCTGAGGACTGAGGTGAGGGCGACGAGGAAACCCCTTCAGAAGGTGGGAACACATACTCCCAGGTCGTAGTACCTTATCAACCACGAAGAAGGGCCGTAGCCGAAGCGGCTTAATATGGTAAAGGCACGTGCTAACCACGGGCGCCCACGCTGAAGGCAAATGTCAGCGAATTAAATGTAATACCTCTTTATCTCTCACGTCTGTCTTAATAAAAACCCAAAACATTGTAAGACTAAGCTTTTTATGAATATACTAAGTTTCCTTTCCCTTAAAGGGAAGTCCATTGACGCTGGAGGGTCTCATGACTAGGAAATTGGATCTGCTATTTCCGATCCCTGAATTGACCTAATACCCATCAAGGAAGTTCCTTGATTTGGTGAGGGGCTCTTGATATTAAGGGAATTGGATCTGTGCTCCAGTTCCCGAATTACGCCTGAATTGCTTCCACATCCCCCCCCCCAGGCGCTGTATAATCCTCCAGGTTTAACGCTTCCCCCTTGATTATAATAATAATAATAGCCTAATAACTTCCATCCACCCACGTGCGCTGTAAAAATCCTGTGGTTTTAGATCTCCTCACATGATTATAATAATATATATATGTATATAATTTAAGATATTACTTCAAAATAACATGTTTAACTCACTGATGCCCCTCAAAGAAGGCTCCTTGATGATGGTGAGGGGCTCTTGATTTAGGGAATTGAATCTGTGCTCCAGTTCCCTGAATTAAGCCTGAATACCTTCCCCCCAGGCACTGTGTAATACTATGGGTTTAGTGCTTCCCCCTTTGATTATAATAACTCACTGATGAAATTGGTGTCCCTGGACGCAAAGTCTGTGAAAAAGTAGTATGCTTGGATGATGGTCTGTGGTACAGCCTCCAACACTGCCTGTAGGATCCTGACGAAGGCAGCCCATTCCTCCACACACTCAGATCTCTCGCGTGCCTCCTCAACGTGTCTCCTTGTCCACCACAAATCTTCGAAGAGACTAAAAACGAATCAAACCTTGAAATTTAGTAAGAGATCATGGGGGGGGGGGGGGGGGGGGGGGGGGGTAGAGACGAATTCAACATCTTGAGATACCAGTCTTCGCCTAGCCCATATGCATCACCAGATATTAAATCAGTGTAGAGGATTTTTTATTGTTATTTTTAAAAAAGATCTATGCTGTATAGCCCTTGTGGCTTAGCGCTTCTTACTTGATTATACTAATAATAATTAAAAAAGAAACTGAAAGAAGGATGCCAATTTTAATTAACATTATTGTTTTAATGTTTTATATGTGACATTATACTGCGTCTCTAGCGCATTGGTATAATGGTAAATACAAGTAATATATAACATTACATACATTAATGTGGAAATATTGTATATTTACCGCCCTCATGGAAGAGTTCCTTGATGTTGGTGAGAGCTCATGATTTAGGGAATTGAACTGTGGCTCCAGATCCCCGAATCTTAAAGCATGATGACCTCCACATCCCCCCCCCCCCGGGCGCTGTATAATCCTACGGTTTTAGCGCTTCCCCTTTGATTAAAAATAATAATGTAATTTTCCAAAAATACGTAATTTAAGGTAAATAGATGCCTATATTGTCTTTAATAAAAATTTGTATGAAAATGGGAAATTTATTCTTTCTGCACCTGGGCAAAAGAGTCAGCCATTGTTGTTTTTGAATTGGTGATACAATGTTAGTGTAATGGGAAGGAATTTTCGTGCTCTGAGTTAAAAATTGGGCTCTGACACTCTCAAATAGGAGCAAATTTGTTGGATGTGCATTCCTGCTAAACTTAGAATAATTAGTGACAGGACCAGGACAACTCTAGAACCCGGTCAATGAGCTGTCTAATTTATGTTTAAATTACTGGCCAGTAAATTTAACATAAATGTGGCAAAAGGGGGGTTCTGTACATACACATTAATCTATCCAGTCAAACATTGGTGAGTGTTATGATATAGAAGATATATTCTCCTTCTGTTATATAAAGTTTATTTATATACATAATCATTTTTTAATTATAATATACAGTCCACAAAATTATATATTTAACCAGCATTCCTGGATATGTTGAATTTCATTTATGATTAATAGTCCAGAGCAACTAGTGATAGGACAGTAGTTACAGTATACGAAGGGACATTTTTTGTGACCTATGAGTCCCAAATTCCTACTGTCTAACAGATAAATAATAATCTTTGATCATAACTGTTATGTACATAATGATGACATCATTCAATAAAATGCCATTTCTACATTTAATTTGCCCGTTTGCGTCCTTCAAACTGGATGAATTAGTGAAAGTCATTATTAGTTAATTATTTAAAAATTTATAAGTGAAATGACAGAGTGGATGATAAATTCATAAATTTACTTAATTGAGTGGATTATAATAATTACATATTAAATTTTGCCAAAGCTAAAGTGCCTAGGAATTTATATTAATGTATTTGTATAATCTATTGCATTGTGATAAGGAACAATTATGGCCAAGGAATTCTAATCCATTGTTATTTGTGATGTATTTCACGCTGGGCTATGTGAGGACTTCATGGGTAGACGCAAATTAAACCAATTAACAAATGTCACACCTTTGCCTTGGCAAACGCTGTCACCACGCCCACGTCTGAGTCTTTTGTCTTGAGACGGCATCAGAACCAGGCATCAGAACAGGTCGTACACGTGGTTTGTTGGGGTGCTGGCTTGACCACCATATAAACCCAAGGAACAGCTGACACGAGGAGATTCGGGCAGAGCTCTTGTCCTGGGAGCAAAGCTGAGCTGGAGAGTCACGGGAGTGACGACTGTTGAGACATGTGGGACAGAAGTACTGGGCTTGGAGCAGTACACCTGCTGTGTAGGTCTCTGTGGACCTGTGGCTATAGTTCCTGTAGTGAAACAGTCCTCTGTACTATATTGTAAGTTATACTATCATTTTAGTCAAGATGATTGCGTGTTCCCCTGCTCACTGCTTATGTGTAAAACCTCACCCATTTATCTAAACCCCAAAGATGTACTCCTGTTTTCCCAAATATATTATTGTACAAGGACTTAATAATAAACTGTATTTTGAGTAGAATAGTAATATTCCACTGTCCCCGTTATTTATTCTTATTTCCAATTATTTATGTTAGTTAAAATAGTGCGGTGGTGAGAAGAGTGAAGGATGGTGGGTAGAGAAATGAGAGTGAAGTTGTAGTCACCAGGTGACCTCACATTACCTACCAACCTCCCACATCATCTTCTCCAACCACTTTGCCAGCCTTATTACCTACTAACTCCCTCCTCTTACCCCATATTCCCCATTCCAATACCCCCCTACATGACAATGTTGTAATTGATAAGACAAGTGTGGCTAAAGATTATATTGTGTATAATATTAAAGTTTGCTATGCCAAATTCTGGCAAGGTTTGTATGTATAATATATAATATGATAAGACAATACTTGCCAAGATTTATAACTCTGTATGTGTAATTGATAAGACAAGTGGTTGCTAATTATATTAAATGTCTGTAAAAATATTAAATTTTGGCTATGCCAAATCCTGGCAAGGATTTATATTAATTTGTATAATAATTTTTGATAAGTCCAAGGCTGTCTAAAGTTGCATTAATGTACATTTGAAGATTATATTATTTTCTTAACGTGTAATTGCTAAGCTCAAGTAGCTAGGATCTTTAATTAAAGGGTAAGTTTGCACAATTTACTTTAAAAAAGTGCATAATTTTAGTACAAATCAGTGTTATTAAGATGTGAATGATTAATACATTGCACTCTCATGGCTGAAAATGAGGAAATTGATGTAGAAGACAAACAATAAATGAAAATAGAGGCACTATAGAGCAAAAAAAGCATCACTTGGCAGAGCTAGAAAAAGTGCATTTAACAAAAGACATACAATAAATGATTTGGTAGTTAAGAATCAAGAAAACTGTGAAATCTGATGATTTAAAATTGAGTATTTAGATGCTTTAGTTAATAGATTATGATTCATACAAATTATATTACAACAAATATGAACAGGAGATTTGTTAGTAAACGTGTAGATGAGACTGAAGTAGATCTCATTATTAATCAGCATAATGCAACTAGAGGAAAAGATTCATGTAAAAGTCAGGCTTTAATAAATTAAAATGTGTAAAACCAGGCTAGTTAATCAGTACTGCTCCAACAATAAGATGTCTTTGCCAAAACGACCCAGACTATGTTTACCTGTATTTACATCCTGGTGAAAATTGGAGAGGAATTTTGGTCTCAATTTTTAAAGCAGCTGTGCATGACAGGAGTTGACCTAGCCTGTTGTAACTAAATTAATTTACCTCAAAGAGTAGAGGAGATAACTCACATAATACTCGATACAAGACCTTTCCCAATGTAGATGATTCTTACAAGGAAGCAGTTGAACTTGTTGAAAGGTCACTCAACGTAAGTTAAAACAAAGTAGGTTGGATCGAAGTGAATATCATTGCGTTTTAATTTAAAAATCACTCTCCAGATCACACTTACAAAGGAATTACCAGACAGTATATTCTGAGTTATACCTAAGTCACTCATCAAAACTTTAAGTAATAAATATAATCTGAAGGAATCAGACTGTATATGAGTGCCATCTTGTATCAGGAACTAAATTAAACTTTAACAAACACTTGAATGGCTCACGAACAAATAAACACAATGGTTATTTTGGTCCTGGAGAGAAATAAGACTAAGTCTAAACAAAGAATTAATTGAGGCAGATGCAGACCACCAACAAACCTCATTTAAAGAGCAAACACAATAATTACTCTGAGTATCTGTCCAATTTCACAAAGGAAAAATTATCCCAAGGTAAAATCAAAATCATTTCCTAAAAATAGTTGCATAGGTGCATACAATAGCTAGAATCAGAAAATAAGGATATTCTCCATTAAGTTAAGAAGAATAAGTACCCACCTAAGAGTAAGCCCAGTTCATAGAAACCAGTCAGGGAAAGGAAAGATAGTCTTTTTTGCAAGGGTACAACATTTTCTAAGAATTGCAATGCATACAAATCATAGGAATGATAAAGTTGAAAGACTGGAGAACTTGACAAGATGTATCAGGTTTTAGTAATCACAACGAAAAAGGATTGTTAGCCAAATTAAACTTCTGTTACAATGACACAAAGGAAGACACCATATAGTCATGTTAAGAGGTTCTATATATAATGTTGATAATAATGATATTGAAGACAAACCTGACACAACATAAGCTAATGTAAAAATTGCTGCTAAAAATAATAATGATGGTTTTGCTGAGTAGCCTTACCATGTGTTACAGGTAAAAATTGATGATAAAAGGCATTAATCAAAAAAATGTAAATGGCATTATTGGCCAGGATTCCCAACGTACTTTCATGAAACGTAAATGTCTTGATGGGATAAAAGTAACAGATGGGAGATCCCACAACATTAAAAATTATCTGTGTATTTCCTCTCGGAAAAAAAGGTCCTCATAGTATGAACGTTTTATGTAACGTCAAGTGGGACAATGAAAAAAAACGTGTTAATCGTAATTGTAAGATAGACTTTCCAAGAAAATACTACAGTACTGGCCTTATACAAATCACAGAAAGACATCTCACATACAAGTAAATCTAGTCAACCTATCTGGTGTAAGGTCTGATGATCTGTAGGCCCAATAAATATTTTGATAGGTAAGTGACATTGTGCCACCTTTGTAAAGGGTAATGGTAAAAGAAATGAGTAGACCACCCTTAAAAGACTGCATGAGGCCATGAAATGTATGGTAGGACATTCCTCGTAACAATAATTCCATGACTAGAGGAAACTACAAATACTCAAACTGTGTGACTAACTTCGTTAAATCGTACCCCAGTATAATTTCTTACCATAGATGAGGTGTTGAGCCAGTGCATAAGTTGTGGGAATAAGACTGACAATGGGAAAAAATGTAAATTGAAGACAAGTCCAGCAATTCTTTTACTCAGAACAATACCTGAGAGCTGTAAAATTTTAATCTGGACAATACTGGGTGCGACTTCCGTGGAGACTGAAACCCAACCAAGGAATATTGGCCCACAAATTATAGACATGGCATATGGCCAGTTAAAGCCTCAGCTTCAAGCTCCGCGAAACTGAGTAAGTACACCAGAATTGTTAACTGTCTATAATGATAGTAATTGCTGAGCAATTAATTAATAAACTTTATAGAAGTATGGTACTCCTGAGGGCAAGTCAAAATTTATTGGTCACTATTTGCCCCATCACGGAGTGAAGTAGGATTCCAGATCCACATTCCTCTGAGAATTGTGCTTTAAATTGTATGTTCCAAAGTAGTAACAAAAATGAACTATTTTAAATGACCTAATTTGATGACAGGTCGTCGATGATTGCAAAATTAGGAGATATACTTATTTAATTTCCAGAGTGAAGATTTATGCCTTTATGCTGTGACATAAGCAATAGCTTACCAGAGTGGGGTTTACAAGAGGCGACCGGATAGTACCATCCTGAAATCCTAGTGACTCCACTTACTTCCTCTGAAAACCCTTTTGCTTTAGGAGCGTATTATTTTGTGCTAACATCCAGTCCGATCCTACTTCAAGCAACGATAAATGCACACCTTAAACGTATTAAAGCCACTGAGTAAAGAGTAAAATGAGCAAACAATTTTATGTGGACAATTTCCTGGGGTGTGATGATCAACTGTAGAGGAACTTTAATAGTCTCTTATGGAGAGCTAAGAAAAACAATGCAAAATAGCAAAAATGCCTCTGGGAATGGAATAGTAATTACGTCCAAAATTAAGAGGACAAAATAAGTGAAGAATTTCCCATGAGATGAAGTGCACAAAATGTAGTAATTAATTGGGTTTAACTTGGGATACATGAGAGAGATTTGTTAATGTTAAAACCTAATATTTACAGTATGCCCAAATAAAATAAACTAAAGAGTTTGCTTGCTGAAGTTTCCAAATGTTTTTGATCCACTAGGTTTTATGTCACCCCTTACTATAAGGAGGGATTCTATTAATTAATACAGGAATCATGGAAACTTAAATGTGCTTGGGATGAAATTTCTTCACTGAGGAATTCCATTAACAGGTGGGATGAATTAATTTGGTGATTATGAAAAAAAATCCAATGTTAGGAGATCCACACCAGGTGCCAATTCAATGGGAAAAATATACTCCACATTTTTTTGTGATGCTTCAAAATTCTGGCATATGGAGCATTTCTTATCTTCAATGTGTAATAGTGTATTTCCTGTTATGTCTAAAGACTAAAGTTGTCTCCAACAAAATCACGTAACCTTGCCTCAGTTGGAATTAACAGGCCATTTAAGTAGTGTCAAATAACTAAATATATAAAGAAATAAGTTGCAATGGAGATAAATAATAAGCACAACCTGTACTTTGGGTCTGATAAATGAGGTATCCTTACAATGGTTTTGTATATGGAAACAGAAAAATTGTGTACGTAACAAAAACAAGTCGCTGAAATAAATCAATGCAAGAAGAAGATATACAGTTTGGGTACAGCATATGTTAACATTTAATCATATACCTGTGAGGGAGAATCCAGCAGATTTCTTGTCTCGAGGTTTCATCTTATGCTAAATTTGTAAAGGCTGTATCAATGGTTTAAAGTACCGAGCTGTTGGTAAACTAAAGCAAATGGCCTGTACAAAAGGCGTATTTTGTCCTAGTTGAAATTTACTGTGACCACCACTCCAATAGTTGTCCTACAATAGCCATTGAATATAAATAGGATATACCCTTACCCAAAACTAATCATGTAACGTAAGTTGGTTGACTTTAATTTCTAAACAAGAAAGAATATTTTGCATTTAAAGTTATTCACATCCTCTGCATACTGGATATAAGAGGGTACAGGAGGAAATCTA